GAATTGAGGAGTTTGAGATTTACTCACCTCATATAATCACCGTCTTAGAAATTTCCTTCCTGATAATTTCCCCATAAATTCTTCTATAAACATGTCTAAAGAAACTATCCTAAGAGGACCAGGAGCCTCCCTCATGATTGCTGAGGATAATAGAGGCCTCTCAGGGCAGGTCCTCAGCAACTCCAAACTGAGTTGCCCTTAAACAAATACCAGTCATTGAATTCATTCACTAAGCTGGTGCCATAGGGTGGAAATATTTTAATCTCCTTTCTTTTCTCCTCTAAACCCTGGAAATAGCAATCTAAGCCTTGAAATGCTATTAAGGAATGTGCTGGTTTCACAATGGCGGGAGGCTAGCTGAGTGATGGAGCAGACTTTACAGGAACATTGGTTTTGGGAATCAGGGTGATACTCATTCATTCAGCAAATAGTTACGGAATGCCTTGGTGATAGGAACTGTCACAAATCGATACAGCAATGACTAGTTAAATTTATTGAGACTATTTCATGGCCCAACATGCAGTCTGTCTTGGGAAATGTTCCACATGTATCCCAACAATTTTATAAAGAAGATTTATAAAGAAATTTAGTGGAGAAAACTTTGGTTTACATAATTTACTTTCTTAGTTACTAAGTGGCAACATTGAGATTTGAACACAGATTTCTGACACCAGGAAATGTGCTCTTTTTTTTTAATATTTATTTTTTATTTTTTAGTTGTAGTTGGTCACAACCTTTATTTTATTTATTTATTTTTATGTGGTGCTGAGGATAGAACCCAGGGCCTCGCACGTGCTAGGCAAGTGCTCTACCGCTGAGCCACAACCCCAGCCCTAGGAAGTGTGCTCTAACTTTCTTCTTTAAAGAGGGAAAAAATAAAATCTTATTCATTCGACAATTTTTAAATCACAGGTCTTTTGAAAATTATATTTAATTCATTTCTGAGTAATATGGATTTTGATCATATAGTTCTTCAAGACTGGATAATACTACTGTGAGTTACCAAGAAGCAGAGTTTGGTTACAAAAAATTTTGTTATAATTTATGATTTTGTAATATGATTAAATTGAGCTTGACATCCATTTAGGACTTAATGTATTTTTTTTTGGCTATTGAGGAAACTTATGTGTAAGTTTTTTGGCTGAATTTTCTTTCTAGATACTTTCAACTTCTACCTAATATGCTTCATATTAGGCAATCATGAAAAGAACAGAGCTTTTAGATGGTTCAATGTCATAGCCATTGTTAATCTGAATTGAATAAAAAATGATATACAATATTTCAACAGAAATTTAATTTCCCTGCCTCTTACAGATCACTTAAACAGGTTCATTTTTGCTTATGTAAAATATTTCCAGATGAGTAATTTATGAATGGGACCATTTAGATTATGTAAAGTTCTGAATCATGTGTTATAGTGTTAGCGGGGCTATGCTGAAGGCATAGTACCAATTTGTTCAGTAACATTCATAAAATGGAAAAATAGACATTAGAAGTCTTATACAACTCACGCCCTTTTTAAAAAATATATATTTTTTAGTTGTAGATGAACACACAATATCTTTATTTATTTTATTTTTATGTGGTGCTGAGGATTGAACCCAGTGCCTCACATATGCAAGGCAAGTGCTTTACCACTGAGCTACAGCCCCAGCCTTCAACTCATGCCCTTTTTATAAAATTATAAAATATTATTTCAGTTAGTATAAATGGAAAAACCAAACAGAATTACCCTTAAAAAAATTTAGTTGCCATATAAAGTTGTCTTTTTAAAATAAAAAGATCAACCTTTGCAAATTTTATATAGTTCAACTTAAATCCTATTATTCCATATGCATGAATTCAGCAGTAATTAGAAAGTAAGTTTCATTAAAATAAGGGTTTTTTTTTTTTGTTCACTACTAAGGGTTTTTGTTTTTTGTTCACTACTATGCAGAAAGTAAGCACTTAGAAAATATTTAGCTGGTGGTACAGCTAGTGGTAAAACATGTCCTTACCATGTGCAGGGCCCTGGGTTTTAGTACCGGGTTCCCAGTACTGAAAAAGAAAGGAAGACAGTTAGGCACAGTGGCACACACCTGTAATCCCAGTGACTAGGGAAACTGAGTAAAAGGATCACATTTTTTTTTTAAAAACATGCCTTTATTTATTTTTATGTGGCGGTAAGGATTGAACCCAGTGCCTCACATGTGTCAGGCAAGCCCTCTGACACTGAGCTACAGCCCCAGCCCAGGAGGATCACAAATTTGAGGTCAGTTGTGGCAACGTGGTAAGACCCTGTCTCAAAATAAAAAAGAGCTGGGGATGTAACTCACTGATGGAACACCAGGTGATTAATCCACTGGGTTAAAATTCCAGTACCACAAAATGAAGAAGAAAAAAAGGAAGAAAGAAAGTTATTGAATGAATGATTTAGAAAGTCAAGTAAATGTAAGAACTAACCTTCCCCCCAGTACCATGTGTCTTTGAACTTAGGTTTAGTGTGGTAATAAGAAAATTAATCTGGCATGCATGTTACTCTATTAAAATGATAAAAAGTTGAGTTTAAAAACTAAAAACAGGTCCACATAAAACTTGTATATGAATGTTCATAACAGGCCCAAAGAGAAACAACTCCCATTGCTATCAACTGATGAATGAATTAAAAAAGTGCTATATCCATGAATGGAATGTCATTCAGTTATAAAAGGAGTGAAGCATTGATGTGTGCTACATCATGGATGAAACTGGAGAACCATATGCTAAGTGAAAGTGGCCAGACACAAAGGTCTTATATTATATTACCCATGCATATAACATATCCAGAATAGGCAAATCAATAGAGACTGAAAGTGTACTAGTGGTTGACAGGAGCTGATGGGGAAGATGAGGAAATGGGGAGTGGCTACTATTGGGTATTGGTTTCTTTCTTTTTTTTTAGTGATGAGAATGTTCTGTAACTAGAGCATGGTAGTGATGGGATATAAAATCTTGTGAATATATAAAAGCCACTGAATTGTATGTAGCTCTTTTTTTTTTTTTAGAGAGAGAGAGAGAGAGAGAGAATTTTTTTTTTAATATTTATTTTATTTTTTTTAGTTTTCCGCGGACACAACATCTTTGTTTGTATGTGGTGCTGAGGATAGAACCTGGGCCGAAAGCATGCCAGGCGAGCGCGCTACCGCTTGAGCCACATCCCCAGCCCTGTATGTAGCTCTTTATCTCTCTCTCATTCCTGGGAGTTGAACCCAGAGACACTTTACCACTGAGCCATATCCCCAGCCCTTTTCATTAGTTATTTTGAGAAAGGGTCTTACTAAATTACTGAAGCTGGCCTTGAATTTTCAATCTTCCTGCCTCAGTTTTCCTAGTTACTGAGATTATAGGAGTGCGCCACCACATCCAGATGCTGTAAACTTTAAAAGGGTGAACTTTTTGGTATGTTAAAAAAAAAAAAAAAAAAAAAAATATATATATATATATATATATATATATATATATATATACACACACACACACACACACACACACGTGGCTAGGGGTTGAACCCATACTAAACAACACTACCACTCTGCTACACTCTAGCACCTGTATTTTTCTTTCTTTCTTTTTTTTTTTTTTTTTTTTTTTTTTACTTTTTTTGTAGTTGTAGATTGACAGCATGCCTTTATTTTGCTTATTTTTATGTGGCGCTGAGGATCCAACCAGTGCCTCACATGTGTAAAGCAAGTGCTCTGCCACTGAGCTATAGCCCCAGCCCCTATATTTCTTTGAAAGTGAAAAAACTGCCAGGCATGGTGGTACACCCCTGTAATTCCAGTGACTGGGAAGTTTCAGGCAGGAGGATGGCAAGTTTGAGGCTAGCCTTGGCAATTTAGCAAAGCCCTAACAATTCAGGGAGACCCTGTCTCAAATTACAAAAAAATAAATAAATAAAAGGTTGGGGACACAGCTAGTAGTAGAGTACTTGCCAAGAACTCGCAAGTTCAATCCCCAGTACTATAACAACAAAAACATTATAAAACAATAGACATGTGCTTACCAATCTGAGAATATTAGGAAATGTTCCCTAGTTTAATTATAAACCAAGTTGGAATGTTTGGAGATTTCAATAATCTGACAACAAATATTAAGAGGATTAACCTGACTTCCCCAGGGTTAATATCAATTTAAGCTGCATCATTCAAAACACTACACAGTAATATTGAAGTAATTGTAGCAATGACTTTGTGAAAAAAAGAAACCAATTAGATTAGTTATCTATGTAGGCTGTTAAAATATTTTGTATTTATATAATGCTCTTACTTCCTGAAGTATTGAATTGTGCCTTAAGCCTTAAGAGCTAATGTATGGGAGAGTCACAGTTTTAACCACTTAAAGACAGAGAAGTGGGTGGGACTGGAAAGAAATTTATTAGCAATGCTGACATTCCAGATTGGAAGACAAAAAGAAGGAGGATTTAAGAAATTGAAATTCTAGTAATCAATGCAGATAAATTGCAAGAACTAAAATTACTATAGACGGGAGCACAATTTTAAGAAAAATACAGCATACATATATATGTTAAAGTCTACATCGTTAAGTATAGATTATGACTAAGAAAAAGAACTTATCAAACAGAACTAAGATTTTATTATTATTTCAGCCAAAAAATATTGCAATAGTTTAAATCCCCTTTAGACCTTCAGTCACACCACAATTATATTCGGGGCGGTGCCTTTCTGGTCAAAGGCACCCTAGGACCCTCTTTCAGTAGGAAAACAGTCGCCTCCAGACCTTACACCCCGTCTCCCCGACAAACACTCCACCGTCTATCAGCAGCAGGCGGAGCTCAGAGAACGCCCCCAAGTGTGCCAGGACTACTCCTTGCCTGGAACCCCTTCGCCGCCCCCACTCCTTCGGACTAAAACTCGACGCTGTTCCTTTAACTCCGCGTGCTGCAAGGGTGTGCGGAGACCGGCCTGGCCCTCCCGCCTCCTCCTCCACCGCTCCCTTCCCCCTCCCATCCGAGTTTCAGGTGAATGGGTCAAGGAGGGAGGAGGCCGGCCACACCACACCTTCTCGATAGCGTCCACCTCCCACTCCCTCCTTCCTCCGGCGGAGGAGCTGGAGTCCGGGGAAAGCCGACTTGAGCGCTGTGGAGCTAGCTGGCCAAGGACGCAGCAGGTGGGACTCGCGGGCTCAGGGGTGCGGGCCTCCGGCACACCCGCCTGGCGTAGGTGCGCATGCCCCGGGGCTGGACGACTTGGGTGAGGGGAAGGAGGAGGAAGGCTGAGTCCCCCGCTCGGTCTCTGGCTGCCTGCTGGCTGCCCACTTGGAGTCAGGTGTTCCCGCCAGGTGAGCGCTTCTCGGCTCCTGCGGCCCGATGTGGGTCGGGCCTGGCTGCGGTGAGTGGGTGAGAGTTGGGTGTGGCGCCAAGGGCTCGCGGTACTGCCGAGGGTCCCCGCGAGGGAGTCTCGGTGCCTTGGGCTGGTAGAGGAGGATGTGGGGAGGACGCTTGGCGCTGGTTTCGGTGGTGGTTTCGCCTTGGGCTGGGGCTCGCGGGAATCTGAGAGGCTCGGGTTGGCAAAGAAAGCGGCGCCACGGAACTTGGGAGACTGTTTCCCCGGACAAGGGGCGACTTGGAGCGGCAGGTCAGTCTTATTCGCCCGAAAGGCTTGAAGCTACCAGCGCCCAAGCAACTTTCCGCTTTTATGGAGACGGGAGATTCGCGAACTACGAGAATGCTGCGCTCTGCTCTGGGTGCTGCAGTTCTGTGAGGTCCTCGGAGGCGCTCGGCGCCCTGCTCCTCGAGGTCCTAAGCCCGGGAGCGGGAGTGAGTGGGCCACTTGATGACCCTGAGGGCTTAGATCCCTGGGACCTTACAATATTTCCGCCCCACTCCATCCCTTGGGGTATCCCGGGGAGAGCGGGTGGCTGGGTTTACTCTGAAATATTCCTGGAGTCAAGGTGTGGGTCACTCCGGCTGTTTTGAATCCACTTAGTGGGAGTTGGGTGAACCCGTGTCGATTTAAGCCGGGGGCTGGGGCGGGGAGTTAATTTCGAGTGAGGCTGGACTTCGAGGGAAGCTACTCGAGCTTCAGATTCTCACCAGTAACCAAAAGGCTGCTGCCAGGTGGGCAGATCTGCCCCGGGGCAGTACCTGCTGGACTAGCACTCGCTGGTCCGGCAGCTCCTGAGTTCCGCAAGGCGCACGGTCGCGGGGACCCGAAGCCGGCCGCGGACTTTCGAGACCTCCTTAGGCGGGGCCAGCACCGCGCTCGGCCAGTGACATGTTGTCTTCGTTGGAGGAAGTATGGTGAGAGCAAGTGGGTAGGGGGGCCAAAATGGCCTCTACATCTTGACTCTAGGCGCAAAACCCTGAGTCCCTGAACCCGAGGAGAAGCCGCGGGATCCGCAGGCCAGCCCAGGACCCACTGGGCGCACTGCCCACCTGGGGAATTATCTAGGGCGGGGAGAAGGCAACCTTCCAGGCAGGTTAATGTGTGGCCCTCACGCACAACAGGTGTATTATTGGGATCCCTGGAAAAGAGAAATACTTCCAGTAAGGACTGCTTGTAATCCTGCTGAAGTTGAAAGCTAGTTTTTTTTTCTAGACAGAAGTAGGTTTCTCAAACTACATTTCTCCAAGTGTAAAACAATAGTTCCTTCGTGTGGTACTTAGGAATCTTTATTTTCTCCCTCTGATGTTTTAAAATAGGCATTTAAATAGTGGAGCCACACGAATAGGTTTTTCTTCAAGAAAGTGGCGCTTTTTTTTGGGGGGGCGGGTGTTTCGCATTTACTTAATTAGGTGTTTCTTTTGTTAGGCGAAGGAGAGGATAGCATGGTAGGTGACGTGGGTTCTTTACCTTAAGGTAGGTTTCGGGCTAATTAGGGAAGAGGTAGTGCCTCTTTGTGAGTCTGTACTAAAGGCAGATCCCATTAGAACTGCATTTTAAAGGAGGTAAACTTTTGTAGAGGAAACATGTTACAAATGGGCTGCTTTGAAAACTGCTTCAGCTAATCAGGGAAGGTATTTTTAGAATTGACTACTGTTGACTAGTCCATCCCTGTGGCCTGGTTTAAGTTTTCTGCATCCTGTTTCATATAAAGGTAAATTTCTTATACTTATAAAGATAATGTTGGAATTACTGCATTTTAGTAGGATAAAATATTACTTTTAGGGCTGGGTGTATAGCTCAGTGGTAGAGTGTTTTCCCCAGCATACATGAGCCTTGGGTTAGATTCCCAGCAAGAGGTCCAGGGAGGGAAGAGTTGTTTTTAACCATATAAAGGATATCTTTGACCTTTCCAGGGACCTCCCAGAGGGATATCTTTTTCCAGTTGCACTTTAAGGCTTACTTGATTAGAATATTTAGAACATTATTTCCTTCCAAATAACTGTTTTTTGTTTGTTTTTTGGGTAAGGGGATTGAACTCAACCACTGAGCCACACCACCAGCCCTATTTTGTATTTTATTTAGAGACAGTGCCTAACTTTTGCTGAGGCTGGCTTTGAACTCTCAATCTTTACGTCTCAGCCTCCCCAACCTCTGGGGAAATTACTGTTAATGGAAGTATTAGAGTAAAAAAAACTATGCAGGTTTTTGTTGTAACTTTGTTTCAGACTCTGGGCTTCCAGCTGTTACTAATACTACTACTTTTTTTTTGGGGGGGGGTACTTAACCACTGAACCACATCCCAGCTCTATTTATTTATTGTTTTAATACTTTTATTGCTTGAGTACATATACACATTTATGCTATCAGGGCAGATGCTTTGGATGACTCATATTTCCAATTTAGGGGAAGAACCTGCTTGGTCTTATAATATCGAGCCAATTCGTGAATTTGGCTCTATCAGAATCAGGTGGAATTTAGCATCCTTATTCTTTCTATTCCTCTCAAGATGCTTTTGAACAGCAACTGCTTTCTTAATTACATGGTAGAGATCCTCAGGAACATCAGGAGCAAGTCCTTTGGATTTAATGATTCGCAAAGATTTTATTGCCAGTCACAAAATGTACTCGTGTAACACCATGTTTGTGAGTCCCTCAATATCTCGTCGATTTATGGGGGAGTCAGACCCTTCTTGGACAGTTTGTAAATCTGCTCCTTCACATCATTAGATGGCAATTTCAATCAGGTGGGGATGCTGGGGTGAAAGGGCAGAGCTGACTGGAACAGCATGCATGCATGCTGGGAGCATCCTGGAGCCTACATACTACCCATGATGGCAGCAGTCAGGCAGCAGAAAAACTAATTTTTTATTTTGAGACAGGGTTTCACTAAGTTGTTAGGGCCTTCCTAAATTACTGTGGCTGGCTTTGAACTTTTTAAGAGAGAGAGAGAGAATTTTTTGATATTTATTTTTTTAGTTTTCGGCGGACACAACATCCTTGTTTGTATGTGGTGCTGAGGATCGAACCTGGGCCGCACACGTGCCAGGCGAGCACGCTACCGCTTGAGCCACATCCCCAGCCCTGGCTTTGAACTCTTGATCCTACTGCCTCAGCCTGCCAAGCTACTTGGATTAGTACTTCTACCATTGACAGTGGTGCCAATCACTTAGGGATTTTACTGAAGTACATATTCTGATTAATAGGTTGGAATGGGTACTGGGATTCTGCTTTGCTCCCAGATGGTACCCATCCTGTTCTGTGTCCTTTTACCCCCTTTCTTTGCTCAGAAAGTAAGCACTTAACTACTTTAACTGACCTGAATTTGATAAAATGTATTTATTAGGTTATTAGATTTATGAAGGAAGAATTTCAAGGCATTCATTGGTGGGTTGAAATTTCTGGACTATAGATTTTATTAATCAAATTTTGACTGAGCACTTCTTTGTGCTAGAAATTAGTCCTAGAGATCAGGGATAAGTGATGGTCAAGACAGATATGCGTCTCACTTGTGAGACGCATATCTGTCTCACCTTGTCTTCCAGGGAGGTGGAGATGGTGGCAGTAGAGAGAAAGAGGCAGACAGAGACAGGGAGGGAGAGAATGAATAATGGTTTTAGGTGTGGGGGGAAATTTGGGCTGAATATAAAGCAAGTTTGGTGTGATGGAGTGAGTGACCTGGACAGCATTTCTGAGGTTACATTTGAACTGAGACTTGAATATGAGAGCTGTCTAGACGGGAACTTGCAAGATCAATGCCCTCCTCGGATTGACTCCTCCATTCTAGGCAGAGTCTTAAAATATGTGGGTTTTTTTAAAGAATCACCTTGGAAACCTTATTAAAAATGCAATTCTGACACAAAGCTAGGCTATTTCAAAATCAGCCAGATTTCACATTTTTTAAAAAATATTTATTTTTAGTTTTAGGTGGACACAATATTTTATTTTTACGTGATGCCAAAGATCGAACCCAGTGCCTCACACATGCTAGGCGAGCGCACTACTTGAGCCACATCCCCAGCCCAGATTTCACATTTTTTAAAAGACGATGTGTTAATGATGTCCTATAATCCAGATAGAATCATTTAACATCAGGTACAATTTAAACTTTTTTTTTTTGTACTGAGAATTGAACTCAGAGGTATTTTACCACTGAGCTACAGTTCCTTCCCAGTTCCTCCCTCCTAACCCCAGACACAGGGTCTCCCTGAGTTGCTGAGGCTTTTGCTAAATTGTTGAGACTGGCTTAGCCTCCTAAGTCACTGGGATTACTGGTGTGTGCCCTGCCCAATTTAAACTTTTTTATTTATTTATATGCGATGCTGAGAATTGAACCCATTACCCTGATCTTTAAATAGTTTTCTTTAAAAGAATAATTTGAGGGCATAGCATTTTGAGACTACCTTCCTCCCCCGCAAGTGGCTCACTTTATCACTAAACTACATCCCCAGCCATTTTTTAAATTTTTGTTTTGAGACAGGGTCTCAAAAAATTGCCCAACTTGGCCTTAAACTTGTGATTCATCCTCCTGAGTAGTTTGGGATTACAGGTGCACCACTGCACCCAGCTCTTCTCTTGCTTTTTTTTTTTTTTTTTTTTAGTTTTAGATGGACATAATACCTTTAATTAATTTTTGAACTTTTTTTTTAGACATCGATGGACCTTTATTTTATTCATTTATTTATATGTGGTGCTGAGAATGGAATCCAGTGCCTCACACATGTAAGGCAAGTGCTCTACCACTGAGCCACAGCCTCAGCCTTCTTGGCTTGCTTTTTTGCCCCTGCCTCTAAAATAGCTTTCTCATTTTGTCTCTTTCACAATCTAGACACATTAGTAGAGGTGATCAGTGGGCAAGTGGGCAAGTCCAGTGGCCTTTTCACTTGTTTTATTTTTTTCCTTCACTTAATACATACCTAGTGTTGCTAGGCTGGGCTTCTTCTCCTTTAGCTGTTTCTGTAAACCACAGTTGCAGACTTTGCCTTGTAAGAGACACCCCCCCTCAACCCAGTTTAGTCTCCAAAAAAATAACACAAAATAACATGTTTTGCATACGTGGCATGAATGTAAATCATTATTTGTTATTCTTGGAAGAGGGATAGAGTCAGGGTGAAGGAGAGACTTCCTAACATTGAAAAGAAATCTGCCCCTGTGGTTTTGGCTTGTTTTTGTTTTTAACCATTTCTAGAACTACAAAGACAGCTCTTAAGATATTTCAGGGCTGCCAGAGTGATTCTTCTAATGTCAAGTTCTCCAGGCCAAACATTTCCTGTTTTTCTAATCATTTGCAATCAGACATGTTTTATTTTTTAAAATTATATATTTTTAAAAAATTCTTAACAATCTTAGTTACCCTCCTGGAGAGTTACCTAGTTTACAACTTGAACGGGTTTCAAATTTTGTTTGTTCTATTTAATAACTGTAGCATTCCTAGATCTGAGCATTATTTCTGTGAGTGCTCCTAGAGTTCAGGATAATTTTGTAACTTTTGTTGTAGTGTTCACTAAGGAAATGCACTTTTCAAATGAACATCTGTTAAGCCAGGTCCCCTTTATCCTGTATTGTAGTCTTGATTTTTTTGAATTGAGTTTGCTTTGTTTTTGATGCTGGGGATGGAACTCAGGACCTTACATGTCCTAGACAAGCACTGTATCACTGAGCTACACTCCCAACACTGTTTTTGGTGGCATTGGGAATCAAACCCTGCACATGTTAGCAAGCACTCTGCCATTGAACTATAACCCCAGCCCTGAATTTCCCTTTTTGTATTAGTATTCATGCCTCCAAATACCTACTGCCTAAACCCTTAAGTTTCTCACCTGAAGAAATGCCTTACTATGAATGCATTTGCTCCTTTTCTTTAATACCTTATCTTACTTATCCTAGCCCAATGGTCAGGATTATGACCCACTTTGACAGAGGAGGTAGGTCCCTGAAGCTCAAAGAAGATAAGGAACTTGTTTCAGGTTGTGAACCAGTAAATAGGGGCTGTTAAAACTACTAAGTTTGCTACAACTCTGACTTTATGGAGATGTTGCTCAATGTTGATGGGTCCTAATCAGTGGGTTAGTTATTCCTGTTCAGTGTTTGATCAACTGCAAATCTGAATAAGCTTGTCTGGCTGACCTTGTCTGTGGTCACCACTATAGACCTCCCTCCAGGTAAGCATAAATGGCCCATTCTTTTGTACTAAGTAGATGCTATTATTTAGCCCCTTGGGAATCTGCCCAATACACAAGCATGTATTCAAGTTTCCCAGGATTCTTTCTCTCTCTGAGTTTCCTTCATCTACTAGTCTGGTAACTTCCAAAAAAGAAACAAAGGTGTGGCATGACTTGTTCTTAATGAGCTTTCTAAAATTATTTGTTTCACAACCTAAAATCTCTGTTATTAGAGGAGACATGACAACTAAACTCTGAATCCAGGAAATAGCAGTTTGAAAAGAAATTTTGTTTGAATTTCTGACAACTTCAGCTTAATCTGAATTAATTTAGAATTTTCAAAATCTACCTACCACTGAGCCTGGAATTTGGGGGATAGTCTTGAATGACTGAATTGTAGGTATAGAAGGGATAAGATTCATCTAAGGTCAATATTTACTATTTTACATTCAGCTTCTAAAATAGGCTACCATATTTAATGTTTAAATTCAGTTTTTTTTATAAGGTCCTTTTTCTGAACATTAATTGGGAAGAAAATCTGGACTTTTATCTTTCATAGCACCATAATATTTTGGCCTAATACTCAATTATATGTGTATGTTCACCATTAGAATATGAAGAAATTTATTTGGGTGTTACATATGGTTTGTATATTTTTCTATATGTTGTACTTCAGGAAAGTGGAGTTGTTTTTTGTTTTTGATATTGGGAATTAAATCCAGGATATGGCTCTGTGGTTAAACACCCCTGGGTTTTAAATTGTGATCCTCCTGCCTCATCTTCCCAAATTGCTGAGATTATAGGTGTGCAGCACCATACCCTGCTATTGTTATGGATTCTAAAGAACAGTGCTTAAAGAGTTTGAATTGATTTGTTCTTCCCAATAAAGTCATGTACAATTGCACATACTTTATTTGAAAAGGAAAAAATATTACACTTTAATATACTCAGAGTATAGATCTTGCTCAAGTGTCATTTGAGGATAATGCCTTAGAAAGTTCATTTGATCTGATACTTATTATTTTCAATCTTGAAAGCACAAGAAGCTTTGCAGGTAAAAATGTCCATGGTCCAATCTGACTCATTAAACATTCAACAAATATTTGTATGAATGTGTTAGTCATGTTTTAATCAGTGAAATAGGCAAAAATTCCTGCTCATGGAATTTACCTTCTGGTGGATCTCAGAATTCCCTATTCCATAATTACTGGTGTCCCCTGGAAATAACTTTTTTTTTTGAACCTGGGATTGAACCCAGGGATGTTTAAGCACAGAGCTATATCCTCAGTCCTCCCTGTCCTTTTTAAAATGTTTTATTTAGAGACAGGGTCTCACTAAGTTTCTTAAGGCCTCATTAAGTTGCTGAGGCTGGCTTTGAACTTGCAATCCTCCTGCCTCAGCCTCCCAAAATCACTGGGATTACAGGTCTGAGTCACCGTGTCCTGCCTCCTGGAAATAATTTATTGCTGCTATATTAAGGAATATAACTTACTGCTTATACCTGAGAGGCATGAAGTGCTATAGCTAATGTGCTGAATACCTTCTGGGGTTTCCAGCACTGGATTTTCTAAAAGAAACCTCAAGCTTTTTGGGTTTGGGGATTGTGTGTTTACCTCATCATATTGAGGTAAGAGTAGCTAGTCTTTCCAGGACAGCTCTTAGTGCCCATGGATTCACCTGGGACCTAGGCAGAAGATATCTAGTCTTACTGCCTCATGGACATACTACCAATTGTCTACACCACCCAAAAGTTAGCATATCACAAATGGAACTCATTTTTAAATGCTGTGGTAGTGGAAAGCTCATGAGATCTTGTGGGTTCAACTCACATCTAAATGACTCATTGCCTTCCTCTGGACTTTAGCATAATTACTTCACATCTCTTTCTGACCTTTTCTGCATCTATATGTGAAGTGGCTAGTCAGGGTTGTTTTAAGGGTGAAATGAGAAATTTATGTAGAGTGCCTGGCACATTGCTACTTATGTGATATGTTTGTTTTCTTCCTCTCTTAGCTCCTAAGTCCTTCGTTACCTTTCCTGGGTTTGCTATAGCTGGTCCAGGTGCTCTTTTTAACTCTTGTCTCTTTGTTCTAACTTATTCATATCTCCTCTGCAGAGAATCTTGAATGGGCTCCCTATTTCCTACTTGAATGAGGTGACAAACTCCTATCAGACTTTGACTCCTTTTTTTTCACCATAGCCTTATTTTAAGAGGTTAATCATGCTAACATGTCCCCACCTGGTTTCTTCTCTTCTACAAAACCATCCACAGTCATGTCAGTATCTACCCAGGCTTGGTGTCCTTCCTTCTTTCCAGGATCCCATCTTCTGGATCTTTAAGTATTTTATATTTATACCTGTACTGTATCTTATCATGTATTTCAGCCTTGAATAATTCCTGAAGTGATGACTATTTTGTGTGTGTGACTTAAGGAGAACGGTGTCCCAAACTTAACTTTCACAGTCTTCTCTGTATATTTAGGCACTTAATAAATATGTGTTGATTGAGTGAAATTCCTTGCAGATGTTTAGGGATTTGTGCTCTGAGGAGTTTTAGAACAATCTTTCTGCTTTTTTCTTAGAAAAAGACCTTTTTTTTTTTTAATGGTACTGGGGGCTGAATCCAGGGGTGCTCTATCACTGAGCCACATGCGCAGCCCATTTTATTTAATTTTATTTTTTATATTTTGAGACAGGGTCTAGCTAAGTTGCTTAGGGCCTTGCTAAATTGCTAAGGCTGATCTTGAACTTGAGACTCTCTTGCCTTAACCTGAGTTGCTGGGATTATAGGCATGCACCACTACACCCAACAAGATGGGGTCTTGATAAATTGATCAGGCTGGCCTCACGCTTTTGAATGGCTGAGATTACAGGCCTGCACTGCCACACCCAGCTAAAGGCAAACTTTTTAATCAATTAGATTATGCTTTAGTTTACACTGAGGGGCTAGTATGTGCTAGACTATGTGTCCTTTCATATGCATTTGTTTTAATAAGCTTTCAAAAGTAATATGAAATAATTTACTTTTGAGAAATTTTCTTTACAGTTCCTTGTTCTTTGAGGTGACTACTTTAAAAATATTTTCACTTAGCTATAAAAGGCTAATTTATGAAATTTTCATTACTGTAATAGAACTTGGGATTTAAGGATGCTTGTGTCCTTTGGATGTGCAGAGCATAATGCTATGAGGAATACAGGGCAAATAGTTCTTATACTCAGTGATTACATAGTGTAAAAGTGGCAGTGTAGCATGAATGGTTGCTTGGGGTTGGAGTCAGGTTTTCTTCATGATGCAGGAAAACTAACCTCAATAGTAATGACATTGCCCTATTGTCATTGTTTAGATTGGCTGATCTTGGGAGCTACAGGGAATTGCTCATCCTAAAGCAGGTGACCAGTGACATCAGTCATGTCATCCAGGCCTTTTGAAAGTCCGCCTCCTTATAGACCTGATGAATTGTAAGTAAATCATTTTTTAGATTTTTCGTTTTAGTAAGGTCTGACACATGTGAAAAAAAAATGTGTATGTTGAAACTTTGATCTATTAAATGTTCTTTTTTTTTTGATACAGGGGATTGAATCCAGGGGTACTTAACCGCTGAGCCACATTCCCAGCCCTTTTTATTTTTCATTTTGAGACAAGGTCTCAGTAAGTTGCTTAGGGCCTTGCTAAGTTGCTGAGGCTAGCTTTGAATTTATGATGCTCCTCCCTCAGCCTTCTGAGTCGCTGGGATTACTGGGAATGCATGACACGTGGATATTAAATGTTCTTAAAAATTAAACAATATGTGCACTTGTATTAAACTATAGGGCTGGGATTGTGGCTCAGAGGGAGAGCGTTTGCCACACATACTTGAGGCACTGGGTTCAATCCTCAGCACCACATTAAAAAAAAAATAAAGATATTGTGTCTACCTATAACTAAAAAATAAATAAATAAATAAATAAATAAACTGTACCAGGAACACCGAGTGAAAAGTATATTTCTCTTTTAATCTTAAATTCTAGCATGACAGCTTTTCTCTCCAGAAGCAACTACTGTCACCCATTTTTTTCTTCCTCCTCAATTCTTTTTCTTTTTCTTTTTCTTTCTTTCTTTCTTTTTTTTTGGGTGCTGGGGATTGAACCCAGGGGTGCTCTATCACTGAATTTTTAAATTTTGAGAAAAGAGTTTTGCTAAGTTGCCCTTGATGGCCTCAAACTTGTGATCCTCCTGCTTTAGCCTTCTCAGTAGCTGCAATTAACAGATGTGTATCACCACACCTGGCTCCTAATACCCATTTCTAATGTTTGCCTCAGGATTGTCTAGGTTGATATTTGTGTGCATATTTATTCCTTTTTGTTTTTTACACATGATATGAAACTTCAATATTAACAACTATTTAAATGGCTATTGGGAACATATTGCAATTTTTAAAAATAACAGATTTATTGAGATATAACTCATGCACCATAGAATTTGCCAATTTAGAATAGACAGCTCACTGGTTTTTAGTATATTCATAAACTTAAACAACAATCACCACAATTAATTTTAGAACATTTTATCATCTTCCAAACCTTCCTGTTAGCTCACACTTCCCGTACACCAGTCCTATGCAACCACCACCTACTTTTTGTCTCTGTATTTGTCTACTCTGGATATTTCATATAAATGGAATCATATGATAAGTGACCTCTTGTAACTGGCTTCCTCACTTAGCATAATGTTTTCCATATTGTGAACTTTAAAAATGATTCTTGCCTTTATATAAAACAAGTCAATTTGAGGGTTCTTGGGTCCTTGGTCATTTGGGGATTTATCAGTGGATTATATTTTAAATTTGACATCAAACGTGGATAGGAATTTCTTTTTAAAAGTAGTTGTAGCTTTAATTCTGATAACAGGAAAAAACACATTTCTCTTGTACTCTTACAACACAATCATTAGAGAATGCCTGTATGACATCTGGTCATCAAAATGTGTGGGGATTTTTCCTCACTAGCATCAGCTGTAGGCACCAGCTGGGTGTTCTCCAATTCAGCTCTGAACCTATCTACCTGGAGATAGCATAGATTACAGATTGAGGATACAGTCCTAGTATACTGCCTCCCACTTCTGATGTGTCTTAGGCACACTTAATGGCCTATGGTCTGACTGACCTGCTATCAGTTGGGGTTCCCACAACCTCCTCCTTGGGTTTGATTAATTTACTTGAGTGACTCACAGAACTCGGGGAAACTCTTACTCTTACTAGTGAACACCAGATAAACAGATACATAGGGTGAATTATGTATGCTCAATGTCTTACTCTCTTGACACAATGAACTGTGGAATGAGAGTATCCTGTTCAGTTTTTTGACTCCATTGCCCGGAACAGTGCCCAGCACAAGTCAGCCTGACAGCTCCAGTAAACAGTTGTTAACTGAATGAAAGAATGAAAGAATGAATGTGTTTTCTTTTTTCTTTCTTTCTTTTTTTTTAGAGAGAGAGAGAGAATTTTTTAATATTTATTTTATTTTTTGGCAGACACAACATCTTTGTTTGTATGTGGTGCTGAGGATCGAACCCAGGCCGCACACATGCCAGGCGAGCGTGCTACCGCTTGAGCCACATCCCCAGCCCCTGAATCTGTTTTCTTAACTAGGAGAATGAGGCTGCCAGGAACTACCCAGAATAGGCCAGTGTAGTTGTTATGTTCGATCGCACCTGTCCTGTGCCACACAGGCAAAAAGGTTGATATCATTGTTCTAAAAGTGTCTGGGTCTCAACCCTAGGAATTACAATTTATAGTATGTACCATCTGAGATTTTTTTTTTCCCCCTGCAGTGCTGGGTATTGAACTCAGTGCCTTGAACTTGCTAGGCAAGTGCTCTAGTATATGAGAATGAGAACAAAAATGATTATGTTACATCCCCTGCCCATCATCTGAGAGTTTTACATTTTCTAGGTGATCCTAAGATGGAGCAAATTTTGAGATCCTCTGCTCTGTAGTATATACAGAGTAGTCATTCTCCAGGTATGTTTCTAAGGCTGGTAACATCTGTATCAGCTGGAAACTTGTTTTATCTCAGAACTGCAGAATTAGTAACTCAAGCTAGAACCAAGAATCTTTTAATTGGGCCTGCGGTTGTAGCTCAGAGTGCTTGCATAGCATGTATGAAGCACTAGGTTCGATCCTCAGCACCACATCAAAATAAATAAATAAAGATATTGTGTTCAACTACAACTGGAAAAAAAAATCTTTTAACAATCCTTTTCAGCTGATTCAGTGGGCCATAATAATAGTTTCATTTACCAATGGTTTGTTTAAATTATTCCAAGTGCTTTGTATATTCTTTGTGCTTACACTAAAAAGTGCTAACATAAAGTTCTTTTCATATGTATTTCAGCAAACCGAATCATTATGCACCAAGCAATGACATATATGGTGGAGAAATGCATGTTCGGCCAATGCTCTCTCAGCCTGCATATTCTTTTTACCCAGAAGATGAAATTCTTCACTTCTACAAATGGACATCTCCTCCAGGAGTGATTCGTATTCTGTCTATGCTCATTATTGTGATGTGTATTGCTATATTTGCCTGTGTTGCCTCCACACTTGCCTGGGACAGAGGCTATGGAACTGGCTTACTAGGAGGTGGTTTTGGCTACCCTTATGGAGGAAGTAGCTTTGGTGGCTATGGAGGCAGCTATGGCTATGGTTATGGCTACGGTTATGGCTATGGAGGAGGCTATACGGATCCAAGAGCGGCAAAGGGCTTCCTGTTGGCCATGGCTGCCTTTTGTTTCATTGCCTCATTGGCAATATTTGTTACCAGTGTTATAAGATCTGAAATATCCAGAACAAGAGGATATTACTTGACTGTGATAATAGTGAGTGCTATCCTAGGTATCCTGGTGTTTATTGCCACAATTGTCTATATAATGGGAGTCAACCCAACTGCCCAGGCTTCTGGATCTTTATATAGTTCACAAATATATGCCCTCTGCAACCAGTTCTATACACCTGCAGTTTCTGGAGTCTATGTGGATCAGTATTTGTATCACTACTGTGTGGTGGATCCCCAGGAGGTATGAATAATGTTTTGTTTGTCCCTATCCACTTGGGTCAAAGGGTTTCAACTTGAAATATGTAATAGAGTCACTCTGGAAATGTTTTAAAAATATTGGCTTTGGTCAGATGTGGTAGTGCATGCCTGTAATCCCAGCAACTTTGGAGACTGAGGCAGGAGGATCACAAATTGGAGGCCAGCCATAGCAACTTAGTGAGACCCTCAGCAGCTTAGCAAGACCTTATCTCAAAATGAAAAACGAAAAGGATTGGGGATGTAGCTCAGTGGTAAAGCGACCCTGAGTTCAATCCCCAGTAACCTGCCCTTCCCTGCCACCAAAACAATTGATGCCAAGGCTCTTCTTCTAATTATATCAGAATGTGGTGGAAACACTGGGTGTCATTATTAATATATAATTAAGATACTGTATAACTCTACCCATTTGAAGAACAGTTCACTGATTTGTAGTCTATTCAGAGGATTGTACAACTATTGCCACAGTCAATTTTAGAATAATTTCACTATCTCAAAAAGAGTTCCTGGGGTTGTGTTGTAGAGCACTTGCATAGCATGCTTGAGGCACTGGGATTGATCCTCAGCACCACATAAAAATAAAATATTGTGTCCACTTATAACTAAAAAATAAATAAATAAATAAATCCCTAGTACCCAATAGCAGTTAGTCTTCATTTTTCTAACCCTTCTGGTCAACCACTAATTCTAATTTGTCTATTTTCTGTGTATTTAATATATTCTCACAATATGTGGTCTTTTGTGATTGGCTTCTTTCACTTAGCATGATGTCTTAAAAGTTTGCCTTGTTTTTAGCATGTATGAGTCTTACATTTTTATTGTAATCCAGTATATGTACATGTCACATTCTGTTTATCCTTTGTTGATAATCATTCAGGCTTTTTTCTTACTGGCTGTTACAAATAATGTTTTGAATGTTGGTGTTCAAGTTTTGGTGTGACCCGCGTTTGAATATCTCTTGGGTTGGATGTAAATCTAAGGGTAGAATTAGTAAGTCACATGGTGATTCTGTTTAACCTATTGAGGAACTACCAGATTTTTCCAGTGAGGTTGCATTATTTTATATTCACACCAGAAAGGTGTAAGGGTTCAGATTTCTCCATTTTCTTACCAACCCTTGTTATTGTCAGTCTGTCTGATTCTAGCCCGTACTAATAGGTGTCCTTGTGGTTTTCATTTGTATTTCATTGATAGCTAAGTTGTTGAGTATCTTTTCATGTACTTATTGGCCATTTCTTTATGATCCTTGGAGAAATGGCATTCAGAATCTTTACTCATTTTTATTTTTTATTATTATTTTTTTTAATATTTATTTATTTTTTAGTTCTTGGCGGACACAACATCTTTGTATGTGGTGCTGAGGATCGAACCTGGGCCGCACGCATGCCAGGCGAGCGCTCTAACCGCTTGAGCCACATCTCCAGCCCCTCTTTACTCATTTTTAAATTTGACTTTTTTTGAAGTTGAACCCTGGACCTCACTCATGCTACACAAGAACTTTGCCACTGAACTACATCCCCAGCCCAATTGGACTTCTAAAAATTCTTATATATTTGGATGTGTCTCTTATATCCACATGTAAATATTATCTCATTTTGTTATTCTTTTTCCATTTTCTTTTTTGTGTCTTTTGCATAATAGCTTTTGTTTTTGTTTTGTGGTACTGGGGATTAAACCCGGGGCCTTGTGCATGCTAGGCAAGTGCTCTGCCATAAGGCTACATCCTCAAGCCCAAATTTTCAGTTTTAATGAGGTTTAATTTATTCAGTTTTTTTTTTCTGTTGCTTGTGCTTTTGATGTTATATCTGAGAATGTTTGCCTAACTCAAGGTCACAAAAACTTCTGTGTTTTCAGAGTTGTATAATTAACTCTTACAATTAGGGCTGTGATCCATTTTGAATTAATGATGTAAAGAAAGGATTCAAAATTCTTTGCATATAACTATCCAGTTTTCATAGTATTTATTGAAAGTACTGTTTCTTCATTAAATGTTATTCATGAATTGTCAAAAAAAAAAAAAAAAAAGAATTTATCCTATGATCTGGGGATATAGATCAGTGGTATAGTTTGCCAAGAAGGCACAAGGCCCTTACTTCCATCCCTAGCACTGAAAAACAAACAAACCTTGTAGATGTGAACATTTATTTCTGGAGTCTTAGTTGATTTGGTTCATCTATATGTCTATCCTTATGCCATTACCACACTGCCTTGATTACTTTATCATTAATTTTATAGTAAGTTTTGAAATCATGAAGTGGGAGTACCAGACTTTATTTTTAAAGATTGTTTTGGCTAGATTCTGGGTTCCTCTCACATTACCATATGAGTTTTTAGGACCAGTCTATCAGTTTCTGCAAAAAATTCTGCTAGGATTTGGAAGAGTTGTGTTGAATTTGTAGATTGATCATTGGGAATTTTGTCATCTTTATAATGATAAGTCTTCCAGTCCACGAACATAGAATGTCTCCCCGTTTACATAAATTCCCTTCAGTTTTTTTTTTTTTTAAAGTGTTTTGTAGTTTTCAGAGTCTCTCTAGATCAAATTTACAGGTGAGGTTGAGAACCCTGCTGTTCAGTAACAATGAATCATCCTAATTACATTAGCATCTGAAATGTTACTCATCTGTTTTCTGTTTTCTTTTTTTTCCTCCTTACACCATCTTAGGAATTCCCATTCTTTTACCTGAATGAGTCATTCTTTTAGGATTAGACTTTCTCCAGTTAACTGTCTATCTTTATTTTGAAGACTGAATGTTTTCTCTGCAAATAAAGTATTTCTGAATGTTTGTTGCTGCCATTCAGACCTAGCTCTGGAATTGGTACTCCTGTCTTACCACATTCCCATCCCTCTATTTGAAACCTATATTCTTTGAAAAAGGATGTCCCTGTCAGATGGGTAACTGAAAGGTGAGCCTCTATTACCCTTTAGTAGATATCCAGGACAGAGACTTGGTACCTGCCTCAACCTCAAGTACTTCCCAGTCCAGCACACCACTTAATATAGTTATCAGATACAGAAAGAACTATCCAGAATAGGAAGTTTTTTGTCACAAGGCCCTTTCTATTACGTATATGAGACTCTGAAAACAGGAATCTGTCAGACCTAAGGAACCTTTAATTCAAGGCTCAAATTTATGGTTTGATTAGATTCATGTCTTTTTTGGTACTGGGAATTGAACCCAGGGGCGTTTAAATACTGAACCACATCCCCAGCCCTTTATATTTTTTTATTTTGAGACAGGGTCTCGCTGAGTTGCTTAGGGCCTTCCTAAATTGCTGAGGCTAGCTTTGAACTCTCAATCTTCCTGCCTCAACTTCTTGAGTAGCTGGGATTATAGGCGTGTGCCACTGCACTTGGCAGGATCCATGTCTTGGTCATTTATGGTTATACAGATCCTCTATGCACTAAAATTTTTTACATTCTGTGTAAAAATATTTGCCAAACGTGTTATGAACAGGATTGTAAGCACTTTTGAGATTAGCATTTTCCAGCCCTTTAGAAGTATATTTGCAATTCCTTTTACTGGCCATCCTCAAAACTGTCTATAAAAACACATTCCTGGGTCTGGGGCTGGGGCTCAGTGGTGGAGCGCTTGCCTAGCATGTGCGAGGTGCTGGGTTCGATCCTCAGCACCACATAAAAATAAATAAATAAAGGTATTGTGTCCGACAACAACTAAAAAGAAATTAAAAACAACAACAAAAAAACCCATTCCCTACATGGGCAATCTTTAGAACTAGTTTTCTATAGCTCTAAACTAGGGTGATGAGAATACCTAGCTTTAAGCCATTTTGTCCATTGTCCCAGAGGTGAAACACCTACAAAAATTTAAATATAAATATAATTAATCATATTAATTAATATGAAGCATAAGAACTATAATATAATAATGTTAATATATAAATTGTAATTAATTTTAATCTAATTAATTAATGTAATAATATGTATCAGCTTTAGATTATGATTTCCAACTTATTTCAATGCACCTGTGTCAATTTTGTTAAAACTGTCACTGAATTGAAAGCTTGGGACTGAATGGGTTAAAGTACATTCTGAGGATTTTGTCAAGTAGTGCATGTGCATGCTTTACCAGCCTTAGCCTAGTGGGTGTGGGTTAGTTTTGCTTCAGCATTGTGTCCATTAAGCCATAACTATTTAGTAGGTCCTAGGGTAGATAAGGATTTTAACTTGTAGAGGGCAGATTGTAATTAATTAAGCAATAAAAATTAATTTGCAATGTCTTCAAATCCCTTTTTAGGCCATTGCCATTGTGCTAGGATTCATGATCATTGTGGCTTTTGCTTTAATAATTTTCTTTGCTGTGAAAACTCGAAGAAAGATGGACCGGTATGACAAGTCCAATATTTTGTGGGACAAAGAACACATTTATGAGGAACAGCCACCCAATGTGGAAGAATGGGTAAGTGTAAAGGAAAAAAACAAAACAAAACTTTGAATCTTTTATTAACCCCCAGATTTCTGACTCTAAATTTGGGGTATTTGGTTAAACTGTGTGCTTAGAATTGTTGTCTGTGTATATTGCAAAAGTTGTTGCTTTCCATTTTACTCAGAACTGTGAAAGGATGGGATAAATGGAAACTGTTTTACTAGAAGGTAAAAATCAGGTTTCCAGCTGGGTGCAGTGGCCCATGTTTGTAATCCCAGCAGCTCTGCAGGCTAAGATAGGATCTCTCAAAGCCAGCCTCAGCAACATTGAGACACTAAGCAACTCAGTGAGACCCTGTCTTCAATAAAATACAAAATTGGTCTGGGAATGGGCTCAGTGGTTGAGTACCCCTGAGTTCAATCCCTGGTACCCCACTTCCCCCGTCTCCCCCCAAAAGTTTTCATTTTCAAGGAACAGGTCTAGTATCTGAAAAGAAGTGACTTCTAAAGAAATCATGTAGAAAGAGCTTGATCTTTGCAAAAGAAAAACAATGTCTTCCTCCTACCCCCTTTTTGTTTCTCTGCTTATCATTTTGAAGGAAATAATATCACCCTGGGTGCTGTCTTGGGTCAAGATTGGCAAGGGTGTTTTGGAATATTAGCAGTTGGCTACTACCACACCTGGGGTGGAACCCCAGGGCCTCGCACATGCCAGGCAAGTGCCCCACTACTGAGCTGCATCTCCAGTCCAGTTGGGAGGATTTTAAACTTTCTACATGAATAGAAGCATGACAAACCACAGTGACTAATTCTATACTGATAGTTATCTATGAAATACTTCAGTCCACAAAGAGAGATTAAAGACTTGTTTTTTGTTTTATTTTGTTTGGAGATTGAACCCAGGCCTTGAACATCTAGGTAAGTGAACTACCACTGAGCTGTACTGCTGGCCCTGTTTTTTTTTTTTTTTTTTCCTTTTAGTTTTACTGGTGAATTATACCATTTATTTAATTAAAAATTAACAGTTATTCGTAAACTCTTCCAAAGTGGAAAGAAGGTAACACTTTATACTTCATTCTGTGAAGTCACTGTTACCCATAGCCAGATTAAGGCAGTATAAGAAATTATATACCAGTTCAGTCCTAACAGATACAGATGCAAACATTCCTGACAAAATCTTTGCAAATTAGAAAGGGTTTATATAACATGCTGCCAGCCCTATTTTAAAATTTTATTTTCAGACAGGGGCTTGCTAAGTTGCCCAGTCTGACCTGGAACTTGACGTTCTCTGGTGTAGGTGGTATTTCAGGCATGTCCTACTGGTGTTCTAGTTTTAGTATATACTAGTAATCTTATCAGCTTTACTGAAAACCCAGAAAGTCCCTTGGTCCAAAAATATCTGCCAAATGGGTAACTGAACTATTTAATGAAGGTGCCTAAACAAAATAAAACAAAAAGCAAAAAATAAAGCAAAAAACAGGAAAGCCAGATGAGTGTGGCATGTGTTTGCCACCTGGATGAAGGTCACTGTGTCCAGGAAAGCCCTCCTTCATTCCCCCTTTAAGGGTGAAGTGTGAGGATGAGTTTTTTTTGCCATCTTTTGTTTCAGACAAGGCCATCTATAGATGGAATAGGACAGTCTGATGTGAACTATGAAGTAAGTGTTTCACTCAGAGTTTCTGGGTGTGTCTATTTTCACTGGCTGTTGTATTTGTTTACTTAAGGTTTCGAGAGAGACCAAAAAAAAAAAAAGAAAAAAATCCCAACTCAAGGGAGACCAGTGCCAGTAATGTTAGAGTCCCAGTGAACTTTGTCCTCTCACCTGAGCTTACTGTCATGAAACATTAATTAGTTCTATCTGCTTTTGATAATGTGGCAAAAGATAGCCTTAGTAACTCATGGTGATGATGACAAACTGAAGAAAATGACTCTTAAAAAGGCATTATTTTTGGGCTGGGGTTGTGGCTCAGCAGTAGAGCAGTTGCCTAGCATGTGTGAGAAACTGAGTTCGATCCTCAACACCACATAAAAATAAATAAGTAAATAAATAAATAAATAAAATAGTATGTCCAACTACAACTAAAAAAAAATTTTTTTTAAAAAAGGCATTATTTTCAAGCTGGGAATGGTTAGCATACCTGTAATCCCATGACTCTGGAGGCTGAGACAGGAGGATTGCAGTTTGAGGTGAGCATGCAGCATTTTAGAGAGACCTGGTCTTGGGAGTAGGGGGTGTGGAAGGACTCAGGTATGTAGCTCAGTGGTAGAGCACCTCTGGGTTAATTCCTGGTGCCACACAAGAAAGAAAGAAAGATAGCAAGAGAGAGGTGGCAGGAGGGAGGGAGGGAGGAAGGAAGGGAAGAAGGAAGGAAGGAAATTATTTTTGAGGAGATAGTGTTTTTATTTTTAATTTAATCTAGTTATTTGTGTGTGTGTGTGTGGCACTGAGGATGGAACCTAGTACTTCACACATGCTAGGCAAGTGTTCTACCACTGATCCACAACCCCAGCCTGAGATAATGTTGACCTTGATTTAAACAGTGTCCTTGTAGTGAAATATCACATATAGTACTCAATAAATATGAATGATTTTTTTTATGTATTACTTAAAATTTAACTTTTGAAAACAGCATCATTTTTTTTTTTTTTTCCTTTTTTGGTACCAGGGATTGAAATCAAGGCACTGAACCACTAAGTAACATCCCTAGCCCTTTTAAGATTTTTTTATTTTTAGACAGGATCTCTCACTGAGTTGCTTAGGGCTTTGCTAAGTTGCTGAGACTGGCCTTGAACTTGTGGTCCTCCTGCTTCAGCCTCCCTAGTTGCTGGGATTACAGGTGTGCACCACCATGCCTGGCTAAGGCATCATTTTTATACAACTTCCTCTGAATTCCTGGAAATTTGATAGCTTATGAGTTGTTTCTTGAAAGTTTCATTGTTCTGTCTGTAACATTTTTTTTTAAACATTTATTTTTTAGTTGGACATAATACCTTTATTTTACTTATTTATTTTTATGTGGAGCTGAGGATCAAACCTAGGGCCTCACATATGCTAGGTGAGTGCTTTACTGCTGAGCTACAACCTCAGTCCTGTAACATGTTTTTCATTTCTTGAAACTTAATAACCTGTTGAAGAACAGATATATAACTTCCCAAATTTATGTTTTTTGTGATAACCTAATATTAGGCAGATTCTTTATTTTTTCCCTCTTCTTTCAGTTTGCCTTTAGAAACTCTATTTGAAATAAGCGACTTGGAGATGGTTGTAGCCATCTATTCTCCCCTTGGTTGCCCGAGTTCTTGTTGCTGAACTCAATATCAAGTTCCCCTTCTTTAATTTCAACATCACAGGAGGCCCATTATTTTTTCTTTTTTTTTTTACCCCACCCCCCCCCCCGCCATTATTCTTAATTTCTCTGTTTTTCTACACCTTTCTGCTGAACTTGGTTTTACTGTGGTCATGGGCTGTCCCACTGCAAAAGTAACCCTATATCTGAAATCTATGTGGAGTGCATCAGTGATTTTCTTCTATTTAGAAATTAGTATCATTAAAATAATCTAGAATTTCCGGGTGTGATGGTGCATGCCTGTCATCCCAGCAACTCAGGAAGCTGAGGCAGGAAGATCACAAGTTCAAGGCCAACCTTAGCAACTTAGAGAGGCCCCAAGAACTTAGCAAGATCCTGTCTCAAAAAATAAAAAGGGCTGGTGATGTGGCTTACTGGTTAAGTGCCCCTGGGTTCAATCCCTGGTATCCCCCTACCCCCAACCAAAAACAAAAAAAATCTAGAATTAACCTCTTATGCTGTGTACAGAGTAAAACTTTGGTTCTAGGCATGTGTGAGGTCCCGAGTACAGTTCCCAGAATACCCCACCCACCTTACACCATGCACACACACACAAATTGTAGAATGCTAAGGCAAGAGACTCTGCACATAGTTAATCATGGTTGATTGTTGAGGGAGAAGAAAGAATTAATGGAGAGCTGGGCACAGCAGTGCACACCTGTAATCCCAGTGACTAGGGAGGCTGAGGCAGAGGATTGCAAGTTTGAAGCCAGCTTTAGCAATTTAGCAAGGCCCTCTCTCAAAATAAAAAGGATTTAACTTGGGCTGGGGATATAGCTCAGCTGGTGGAGTGCTAGCTTTGCATGCACAAGGCCCTGGGTTCAATCCCCAGCACCACCCCCCAAAATTTAATTCAGTGGTAAAGTTTAGTCCCCAATACCAAAACAAAAAGAAAAGCTAAAGTAACAAGGAGCTTCTCAGTGTTAGTTTACTCTCTCCTTACAAGTTGGGATAGGTCCAGAAATGTACTACCATATTAAATATTGCCTTTCTTCCTGGACTTTTAATGGCTTTAAGATCACCTCTCCTTCCCCAGCAAAGACATGTCAAAAGCTGAGATTTCAGAGTTTTAAACAGGTTTTAGCTCTTTTGTAATATCTGAGAAAACTTGGAATTTCCTTATTTCCTGCCCCAGTATGCATAACACAATGGTTTCTCTGCAGGGATTATTAGTTGTTTTCCCCCACTCCCCTTTTTGGGTACTTTGTTTTTGTATAAACAGGCCATGTTTGCACACTGTTTGTTAACCTGGTCTTTTATAGGCACTCATAAATGCCTACCAATTCAGTTGTCTTTTAAATCTTCTAAGGTTCTTTTAAAATTATGAATCTTTATTTTTTTGTTATGTCCTTAAACCCCAGATCTATTTATTTTCCCCAGATTTAAAAAAATGTGCTTTAGTGGCTGGAGGTGTAGTTCAGTTGTAGAGCTCTGGCTAAGCATGTGTGAAGACCTGGGTTCGATCCCCAATTCCAATAAATATGATTGTAAGTATGGAGGGTTTTTTTGTTTTTGTTGCTGGGGATTGAACCCAGGGCTTCATACATACGAGGCAAGTACTCTACCACTAAGCCACATCCTAGCCCCTAAAATACACAGAATAAAATTAAAAATAAGGGGCTGGGGATGTAACTCATTGGTAGAGTGCTTGCCCAGCATGTGTGATTCAATCCCCAGGATGGCCTCC